GAGGCAGCAATTGTATTTGCCTTTGACTTCGACACATGCTTAGGCTTACTAGGGGTTGCTGAGGGAGTCGATAGAGGCGTGTTTATACCAGGCGCGATGGTGTGTTTAAAGAGGTCAGCATTAAAAGTAGTCGAACTCCCTACGGAATTGACTATGCCGTGACTTGCAGATGCCGCAGGTGGTGTTGTAGAGGACATATTCAGACAGACAGTAGGTGTCATTATCTTAGTGTTAGTTTTTGTCGATTTTAGTTTATTCAGTCTTCGCTGCAGGGGTGTGAGGTCTGGCGAAACGGAGCAGCGCCATTTACGGCAGAATTCTCTAGTCATCTCCCTACTCGACAAGATAAAATCGACATCTATCATGGAGAAAAGGGTACCTAGTATCGGCGCATTACGGCTAAGCGAGCGAAGTCGCTTAGCTTGTGCGACATTGAAACTCAAGCCACAACTTTGTAGGAACACATGCGCTCCCTCCATAGCAGATAAGTGTCTCGGAATGTTTCGCAGTACGAAATTATGCTTGCGCCTAATTCTTTCCTCAGTTTCCGAACTTATTACCCCAATAAGTTTAAAAGCTTGTTCAATTACTTTTTCAGAAGTGCTGTTTATGTCGCCATAAATCAACTGGTCGACTATTTCGCCGGCTGATGGCCTGCTACGACTAGCAGAGGCGTATTTTTGGATGACTGAAGGATCAAGAGGTTCTACATGTACTAAAGGGATTTTTGAGTTAATCATATCTGCAGAAGGCGAAGAACATACGCTGGCACCTGCTATGTCTTCAGTCACGATTTTAGCACCCAGAGACGGTGGGGAGGTCGCAAGATTTCGCCTTTTAGCACGTGCTCTGCGGGGCATTACAGACAAAAAAGTTTTTCGTTACAGAAGAAGGATCAAAACGTTTCCAACGTACGGAAAAGCGCACTGAATAGCAAGTATTACTGTTATTTAACTACAAAAACTAGAGAGCGGTAGTAGGGAAAGGATTCACTACAATGGATTTTTTACAAAATACGACTATTTTGCCAGACTGTCAAACAAACTGGGAAAAAATTTTACCTTATATTGAAAGGCGACTTTTAAAAGGGACTCAAGTAAAAAACAGGCATTAATTACTTAAGAATATCCAGATAAATGCAGAGCTTCACTTATCTTTGAAATTGGGATGCGCGCCTTGTGGACACTTCATTGGACATTGATGTCACAAAGACCAGTTGCATCAGTACAGGAGAGAAAACCTCGCCAATCCAAAAATCCAAGAAAGCTTTTTTTGATTCGGTTTCTACGAAATCGTTATTTGGGTAGTTCCGAAGTGCGGTGGCCTTCTTTGAAAAGGCTAGTGGGAGACAACAGAGAATTAGTACATGGTCTCTATCAAAAAGGTCTTTTATGAAAGCAACGAAGAAGAAATAAATATCATTGGTAACGTCCAGATCTACAATGTAATTATCTCTTGTTGGAGAGCGCAATAGCTGAGGCCTATTAGAAAAATTGATAATATCTTGGAAGGGCTGAAATATACATGGACAAATATTCGAAAGACAACCTCTACCAGGGAAGCTAAGATCTCCAGTGATTATCCTTACCTCGGAGGCAGATTCTGAAACCAGTCTAAAAACTTCACAGAGTTGTCCGTCATCAGTGACTGAAGAGTTTAGAGGATGGTATATACAGCCAGGAATAGTCTTCTTTGTGGAGAGAGAATAATGATGCAAGACAGAAGTTCCCCGAGAATACGGAGGCATTCAGGTATTTGAGTGAGTGCGTGGTGAAGATATATGAGAAAGAAGGCCACCGTCTCTATGCCTATTTATGTGGTCCTGACGGCATAAAAAGATGGGTCAGGAATCAGATAATGATTCCAGGACTCGGCTTTGCATACAAAATCAGGCGCCATTTAAAGCGCAATGGCACTGATTCGGGCCACCTTATTTATAACCGGTCGGGCATGTAATAGACTATATTTAATGTGTTTCTAGCAGTATGGACACTCAGAAGATAGAGATGCGCTGACTGGAAGAAAAACTTTATTGGCCTGACGTTTCGGGTTCTCACTCGAATCCATCATCAGAGACATTCGCAGATAAATGTGATGGTGGCACCAGGAGTGCAGTATTTATAGCACGTGGCTGCCGTGGACCGTGTGCGCGATGCAATTAACAGTTCTCGCAATCAACACTGGGGTCGTAATTGCTGCTGTGGTGGCTAGTCGGTCCGAGTCCGAGTCGTTAATTGCCGTGATTTCGTCATCTGTGCTGGGTGCTGGTGTGACGATTGCTCGGCAAACTGGCTAACTGTCACTGTGATAATTGTTCGCCCGCCCACCCCACCCCCCACGACATAGTTATGTCGGAGAAACTGGAAGATTACTCCGGACGCGAATTGCCGAGCACGCAGCAGCAGTGAGGCGGGGAGACGCTAAATCTCAGGTGACGGCACACTCGACGGGACCCGGCCATATTTTCAAATTTTAAGAGGCCGAAATCCTCGCAAGGGGTGACATCCGCGTGAGCCGCGAGCTGCTCAAGTCATAGTTCTCAGGCCCGCAATCCATCAACAAGCACAATGACCTCCCGGTACCCGATTCCGTACTGCGGTTTTCCCTGGGCAGGAGAATCAGTCACGTGGGGAGGGCGCGGGCGAACAATTATCACAGTGACAGTTAGCCAGTTTGCCGAGCAATCGTCACGCCAGCACCCAGTACAGATGACGAAATCACGGCAATTAACGACTCGGACTCGGACCGACTAGCCACCACAGCAGCAATTACGACCCCAGTGTTGATTGCGAGAACTGTTAATTGCATCGCGCACACGGTCCACGGCAGCCACGTGCTATAAATACTGCACTCCTGGTGCCACCATCACATTTATCTGCGAATGTCTCTGATGATGGATTCGAGTGAGAATCCGAAACGTCAGGCCAATAAAGTTCTTCTTCCTGTCAGCGCATCTCCATCTTCTGAACTGCTACCTGGAACTCGTCTGGCCGCTTCTATCAGCAGTATGGCCATTGTCAACATAATTTAGAAAACAAAATTGGTGATGGATAGGTTGACTGTAAATAATTGTTATTTGGGGAATTACTACCGATGAATATTGCAGACAGATAATAAACCATGTGCATTGATATCTCGAAGTCAGCTCCTACCCCCGTTCGAAGTGGTGTCCCTCAGTGCTCAGTCTTAGGGCCGTCGTTCTTTCAAGTCTGCATCAACGACTGTCTCGACGACCTTGGGTGCAGCAGCCTCATGTTTGTTGACAATGTTGAACTGTGGAGAGCCATCGGTTCTGACGCAGACAGGCACGGGCTTCAAGAGAGTCTCAACCGGCTGAGCAGTTTGTCGGCTCGTTGGCTCCACGATTATAATGTGGACAAATGTGTGGTCCTGAGACTCCGCACGAGAAGGAAAGTCAGGATGGCGATTCCTTCCGATGTCTCCTTGATAGGTAGCCCTTACCAAATGTCACAGAAAGATCTTGGCGTCCCAATGACCTCCTCCCTTAAACCATCGTTGCGTGTCAAAGAGCAGCCAAAAGCGCGATAAGGGTGTTATTTGCGCTGAGACAAGGATTTGTTCAGAGCGACAGAGAAGTGTTTGGAAAACCTATGTGGCATTTGTTCGACCCAACTTAGAGTAGGCCGTCCAGGCCTGACACTTTTGGTTCGAGGAAGATTATGAACAGCTGACAATAGTACTGGTCGAGAATGTTGATCATCTGCCTTACGAAGCCAAACTGGCTGAACCTAATCTGTTACCTCTCAATTACAAGTCGCTGCGCGACAACCTCATTCTTACCTACCAAACTGCTGGAGGTCAGTATGCCCTAGACTTTGATAAATTCTTCGAATTGACTTGGACGGACTGTCTGCGTGGTCATCCCATGAAACTGCAAAGGGTGAAAAATTCTAACGGTTGTTTGAACTTGGAAATTTTGTAGAATAAAACTGTCTTTAAGACGCAGTTATTGACAAATCATCTTTACTAAAATTTACTTCGAAAGGGCACTTATACAACTTGACTTTGACGAATGTGAACTAACAATTACCACCAAATCTTTTCACAGATAACTCGTGTTTGTATAATCGAACTTTATCGATCCGAAAAGTATCTGCTGTTATTCAGTGAAATGACAACCAAGGACCCCAGGAAGTTATAGACAGATCATATAAACTGGTCTGTAATACCTTTGTATGCTAGAACAAAACGTAATGTTCTCTTGTTTGTATATACCAACCATCGATGTGGCATCAGTTCGAGTTAGCGTCGCTTGGGTCGGTAGGGTGGCTAATCTTTCAAATGTCTTGTAGGAAATCCGATCGCACATTTTTGAATCAAATTCAGGACTTACTTTTTTCACGAAGTTAATTATCACATGGGGTTAATTGGCAAACTGCGTGAAGACGTATCTCACCATCGTGTCTCATACTATATATATAGTATGAGACACGATGGAGAAGGAAATAAACTATTTTATTTCCTTCTCTCGAGTCTTTATTCTTAAAATACGAACACTTTTAGCAGCTTTGCAATAATGGCTACTTGACCATTTTTAGGCTGTTTTTTTTAAAAGCACTTACATTGCAGCTTCACCTCATGAGGTGAAATGTTGATCAACATTTCAACCTCTTATATAAATAAAAGAGTGGTTGTTCAGATTATGAGCACTATAGCTATAGTGCTTATAATCAAAGACGTTTCAAAGTTAAGGTAGGGAGATGTCAAGGCGAATTCTACATTCTATGTACACTTTGTCGGGGTATTTGGTCAGTGTGCTCCCAGTCAGCCGTGCTGTGAGGAAGTTTTTTGTTTAATTCCAAAAGTAGCCGATCAACGCATGTGCTTGCTTTATTGCTATTAAAAGGCTTAGGGTACACTAATGTTTTATAATGTTTTTCACTTTTCGTACTCTCCAACTGCACCTTCATTATCTTGATCTTTAGACTCGTTAATTTACATTTCACAACAAGACCTTTTTGGTCACGAAGGCGTGCAGAATGGGGGACCGTATAGGGCTAACCGGTGACCCACTTCTTTTCCAAGTATGTTTTGCTAATTTTCACCTTATTACAAAGTATTGTGAGCTCGCTAGTTCTTCGGCCTTCTCCACGCCTCAGAACGATTCGACCTTGCGTTTTTTTAAGTCTATTTCAAACGTTTCATCAATGAACAATATTTCAATGGATAGTCAACTATCACAGGAACATGCGGCTTCAGTGTTAGGGCTTTTCGATGGGTCTCTGCAAGAATCGATATGCACTGTGGATCAAAAACCTCCCAGAAAAAATTGTCTCCATACCAACCAGAATTTGCGAACGCGTGCGTCAATAAAACTTTCCATTTTTTGACATGGTTTTCACTTTCTTTCATGTGTTTGCCTTCAGGCTTTTTGACAACATTGCTTTGAAAATTGGGCGCATTTTAGGTACGGTTTCTGCTCAAGCGATCTCTTTCTCCTTGGGAAACTGGACCGACTCCTTGGAATCCGTAAACCTCAAAGTAGGGATTTCATTCCTGCAGAACCGTTCCTGCAATTTAGCCTGAATGAATATAAAATTCTTTTATTTTTGATATTGCGAAAAATTTGCTTTTCAGTGATTGAGATTTTGCTCATTGTCTTCACAAACGTCAGTTTTTGATAATATAGTGAATCTAGCACTCAATGCCATTATGTCCCTGCGTAAAACTGTGCAGTCTGGGCATAGCCATGCGTATAAAGTTTGCATATAATCACTAATATGGCGTTTTGTTAGGGTTCTTAGCTCATGCCTGTCCGACTCAATAGTTTTTTGATGGACCTTAGGTTTAAAATCTAAAAGTTCTTGTGCCCCTCTAAGTTCAGTGAGCCTTGTATGGTTTCACGGATGAGTTACTTGCACGAATTGAGGTGC